TTTTAATTCAGTTGAGAATATCTTGACTCCATCAATTTCCAGTTGATATAATCCTGCATCCTCTGGATTAACTCCATTTATGCTGAACACAAACTTCTTTCCTACTCTTTTAAGTCCATGTTTTATCTCTGTGTCGGCATCAAAAGGAATCATAACTCCGTCCTGTTGTTGCAAGATGGAGAGTAAAGTTGAATTAATATAAAAAATGCAATTGTTACTTTGAGAAATTTTCATTTTTCTACTTTCTACTAAAATTTTGTATTAAAAGAACATTCACCTTGAATAGGAAAATTTTACTATTGGGGTCTTTCAGTGACATCTCAAGTTCAAACTCTGCTGCACCATTAGGTTTCAGTTCAATGGGCTTGAGGTTACAGAGGTTTTCAACAACCTAAACTCATTATAAATCAAGAAAAAATATATTGACATTTATACAAAAATATTTTTCTTGAGCTTGAGTTGCATATGTGTTTTCTGCAGATGGTGTGAAAACCAACCTTTTCCTGCGCCTGCTCTCTCTCCAACTTCTTCTCGTTTAGCTTCTTGAGCATCCAGCGAAAATCAGTGATTCCATATTGTGCACAGATGCTCTCATATTCTCTCTTGTCTGCACTCAACAACAGTTCCCAAAATTGTTCATTGATTTCTAGCTTTTTCTCTTCCCTCGACTCCAGGTCCGCCCTCAAAAAGGGGAACAAACATTTCAATTCAATTCAGTTTATTTATATAGCACCCAGTCACAACACATTATCCCAAGGCACTTTACAAAAAAAAAAAGTTAATTCAGTCAAGTCTTTCAGGCAGATACCCATTGAAGTACATGCATTTCAAATTGAACAGTTACAAAATAGTGCACTCGAGTTGATTATTCAAATTGGTTAAGTTTTCTATCTAACAAAATCCAGCATATTACATCAAGTCAGGGACTTGCAACGCTCATCCCTCCTGAATGAGCACTTAGTGACAGTGAACAATTGTTTCCATTGTCAATTAACAAATGGTAAATATATGAAATGTTGGTCAGTTTTGAAAAACACACACAAAAAAAAAACATGACCTAAAGGACAAAATATATAGTTAGAAATTTGTTTTCCACTTACGTGCTCCTCAAGTTCCTTTTGAAGTCTTCTGGCAACTCTCGAATTGCTAAAACAACAAGCAGCTGAGTTATACTTATTTTTGCTAAAAAAGGAACTTATTTTCAGAAAAGTGGTCTGCATACCTGTTCTGGATTCTTTCATCGCTTTACTCTTCTTGTAGCCAACTAAATTAAGAAAATTTGAGTCGTTATTATAATTTTCTTTCTTTGAGAAAAGACATAGCATCTTACCTTCAATGACATTGAGAGTAACGGTAACAACTGCTTTTCCAAACTCATTTCTGGCATAACATTTGTAGGTATCCGCTTGATCTGCACATACATCAGGCATCTATCAAGAAATCCAAAGTGTCTGTTTTTTGAAAAGGAAAATTGCACAGTTTATCATCCTTTAAACAATGAAAATGGCAAATACCTGTAGCTGATGTTCACCAGAAATTGAATCAAATGTAAACTTGTATCTCTCCTCATCTATTTCCCCATTGTTTCTCATCCAAGTCACAACTGGTGTTGGATTACCAGTAACTATTGCTCTGAAAAAGGCCATTTTTCCTACAAACATAGTAGAAAGAATGAAAAATGTAAATAGTAAGTTTTCAATCAAAGACAAGAAAACTAAGCAGATTTTACCTTCTTGAATTGTGAGCGCGATAGGTTTCCGAGTGAAATCCGGGGTGCTTATGCCATCTGGTAATACTTCCACATATTGAGTGACCATAACTCCGGGCACCCGTGACTTCTTTTTAATTTTCACTGCCATCAAATAACAATAAAAAAAAACAAAATAATCTGTACAATTTGATAAAGGAAGAAATTCAGGATAGCATTGATAATTTCCATACTTTAAGTACTGAAGTCTGAACTTCAGTGCTTAAGCATATAGTTTTATTGATTTTATCAAGGTTGTTGATTTGGAATTTAGTTGAATACATTTTTTAAAAATCCACTTGTTTTTTGACTTACCCTGCCCCGGAGCTGTTGGTTGCTCTTCCTTTGCTTTGCGAATCATCAACATCTTCACATCAACTTCTCTGTTAATACAGAATAATCACAGTGCACTCTCAAATCACCTAATATGTTGTTTTGTGGTTTCCCTGAGTAGTATTTGTATAGCAATTTGTCTCAATTTTCTTGAGTGAATGCCTGGGTTATTTGCTCTGTACATACCATATTACTCAATTTCAGTGACTTCTGAAACTGGTCACTGTCTTTAAAATAATTTATGTGCTCCACGGTCTAAATATGTTCTGGGTATCACTTATCATTGTGGAAACTGGAGGTTTATGGTTGGTTGTTTTTAGAAAATGCAGTGTTGGTGGAAGTGTTTGTATCAATACTCAGTAGTTTAGATTAAATAGGCAATTGATTAAAATATATAAAATATAAGATGCACCTCATTATTTGAATATAATATAATGTGTTTAGACTTGTGCCATGATGGCCTGTAGTTCACTTAGGCAGTCCTTATTTTACTGTTCAAGAAACAATCAACAGACTTACCTCGTAAGAGGAAAGTCTTTTTTTTTTTGTTGTAAACTTAGTTTCTGAATTGAAAATAAATAGCCTATTATTTTGTCTACTTTAAAAGTTCATTTTTATTATAGATATTTCCATTTATGCATTTTATATTAGCCATTAGGCATCAGAATAAGTCACTGAAATAAACTATATTGTCAGATTTATGTAACAATTGCATTTATTACATTTATTAGATTACATAGCTCAATTTGAAAAATCTTTAAATCATAACCTCATACTGACCAATTTATAATTGGAAAAGGTGTAAAGTATTTAATCATGTAACTTTATGGATATTAGTTTGATGTAGATTATGCTTTTCTTATTCAAACAGCTTTGCTATGGTGTTATTTATTTTTTCGTTTTGTTCTACAGCACAAAAGGAGCATCTTGCTCATAACCATTCAAAGACACAAAGTTAGATTGAGAGAGCCAAGCAGAGTTCTCTAAATTAGATGTATATGTTAAAATTTTAGCAGTCCACATACTGGCCTATTGTGTAGATGCATATAAAGTTAAAAAAAATATATATATATTCTACCATTGATGTTATGAGTGCAGTGATTTATGAATGTCCGGTTTCTTTCTTAAATTTGAGAGCCCCCTGTTGAAATAGAACATCTATTTTACCTATAGTTTATAGTCTTTTAATGTCGCCGTCTGGAGGAAAGTGTGAAGAGGATTTTGTCATGACCATATAATTATTCTGATTGTGAAGTACATTTATAATATGCAGCACCATCTTTATTTTATAGTAATATGAAATTAGAAAATGATATTGTCATTATTCATCACTTGGCATACCTGAACTATTCTGTATCCCCTAAAAAGTACGCAGCAATTGGACCATTATTGAAATTTTATACCTTGAGAGATATTCTTTCAAATTGATTTTTTTACTTTAACCATGAAGTTAATTTATAAAAACATGCACAAAAAAAACTTTAGAAATACACAGATCAGATTTGGTTTGATGTAGAAATCTAATCACCTGCTACAAATAACAGATCTTCCCATAAATGTACTTACTTTTTTAAAAAACCTTTTTATGTTAGCTGCCTTCCTCTGCAGTGTGGTGCCAGCCAAAGTCCAGTGGATTCCTGAGTGTGAGTTCTGCCTTTTAAGAGGCTATAAAGGCAGACAGAGATCCTGAGAGGAACCCAACCCACTGCTTTTTTACAGTGGTACATGGAGATAGGTTTACTTGCATATGCCACCTTTCCATAAAGCGCAATTGGCTACAAGTTCAGAAGGGTAACATCTGAGAAACAACAGCATAGAATACATACAATCCTTATGTCTCAAAACTGCGAATCATAGCTTTAGGATAGCTGCAGGATGCCATAGGACAGTGTAGGAAGATACTTCTCATGGGTAGAAAACACGTGAAGCTTCTATGATGCTTTTCCCACATTTCTTAAGAGGTAAGAGGTTTTATTTATTTTGCTCCAACACCTGACTGGATTTTGATGTTAAGAAATGTCAGTATTGAAATAGTTAAGTTGCTGAAAAACTATTATAAAAACAGAGCTATTATTTTCATTTTAATTTTATTTATTTTATGAAAAGCAGACTACACAAATAAACCAGAGCATGTTTTTGTAGCTTCAACTTGCATTCAGGACTTGCATCCAGAAATTAGTCATGTTTTTAGTTGTTTAGGCTGTTAATCTTTCATTTTTCCATGACACTACAAAGGGATGGTGAACAACTCAAAACATGAACAGTAACAACATGAGAACGATACATACATTATTAAGACAAACTTTAATGACGTGCAATGAATTTTGAGGCATGTCATATAAAGATTTGTTACATGCGTCGTGGATGTACTTTTTAGTGAATCAGTTTTAGGAAACACTTCTGCATAATGTATTTTTTGTATGTCTAAAATACTTCAGTAACTCATTGTTCAGTTTTAAAAAGTTGAAAAATGCAAAATTCAATTTTTATAATAATAATAATAATAATAATAATAATAAATTTTATTTGTAACGCACCTTATATTTCAAAGAAATCTCAAAGTGCTACAGAGACTATTAAAACTTTTCACACAAATTGGCATATGAATAGCATGCAACGTTGCATGCACAAACATGAACATTTTCACGACCTATTAACATCTAGAGTTATCTAATAGTAATGTTTAATTGAAGTTCAGCATGCTTTCAAATTTTAAAACAGCTCCTGTTTTCACCACTCCCAAGAGGGGTCATTTTCTCCTACTGAGTTCCCACTGTGAAATGTTAATGTTTAGAAATAAGGAACTCAAAACTTGGCAGCATGTGGGAGCCCCATAAAGCCCTGAGCAGCCTGATATGTTTGCTCAGAACCTATCTCATATGACTAGATTATAGCAAAAGAAAAACCCTACAAAACAAACAGCTTTTTATGTATCAATATATTTTTTGTTTTTCTGTTGCTTTGTCTTTGCACCATATTTCATAACAGTTGACATAATGCTTGGGTAAACTCACAGCAGAAAACAGGCAACAAAAACAAAGTCTGCAGGAGAATAAAACAATGGCAACCATCTATGTTACAGAACAGCCTAATGGGAAATGGCAGAAAATTATATCACTTTGATGATAAAATCATTAATTCAGTCATTTAAAATGGAATCAAATCAATAAATCCTTCCAGGTTCTCAAGTGGCAAATAGTTAAAATAAATATATAATTTCTTTTTTGTATATTCAGCCTTCTAGTTTAACAAAATAAAACAAGTTAAATAAATAAAACTAGATCTACGAATAATATGTGGCAATCAGAGGTCGTGTTAAAGGAATATTTTCTGTATTTGTTGTTTTCTTAAATGACAGGAAAGTTTGAAGCCCGTCGGTCATTTGACAGGTTATAGAAAACACCCTTGACTGGTGCACATGCGCAGACATTATAGACTTTATGCAAAGTTAATCGCAGAGGTAACTAAAACAACAGTCAAAATGACAGAGAACAAAAAAGTCTAGCGCAACCTATGGTGGCAACATATTTTTAATGTTTTTTTATTTTACTTTGCACAATAAGATTTTGATATGAGGCTTCATCTGTGACACTGCATGTACATTTTACACATATCTTGGATTTGCTTGATTGTAAAAGGCATGTCAATTTCCAACTACGTGGCTTATGTGGCATCTTCTGTAGATTCCTTTATTCTGCAAAGAAAGAAAATGGAGATCGTTAGCCATTTTTTATTTTTATTTACTGGTAAATTACAATTGTTTCAGTAATTCAATTCAATTCATAACTCACTCATATTTAATATGCACAGTGTTTTATATTTTGTATTTTTCTTGCCGTTTTAATTAATTTTCCTTACATCTATTAAAAACTTAAAATTCTGTTTCTCTGAAAATGTTAATATTGCATAGGACTAATAAATCACATATGTCTAAAAGACACTGTCCTTCCAAAAAGCCTACCCATGAACTGTATGACATGTGCTCTCGATTCTTGGAAGAGTGGTCATTTGTCATGAATTTCTGTTTATAACATAACTTGGGATGACTAAAGGAACTGATGAGTTATTTTCTTCACATTCTTTCAGGTTTTTATTTGGCACTGGTTTAAAAACATTTGATGTCCCAGTTTCTTAACTAGCTTCAGAAAAAGAATGCGTCTTGGAGACTGCCGTTATCCTTGTTGTTAAGTGCAGCTATTTTTTACCTCACGTTTCCATCTACTTAACTTTATATGAATGTGCTTGAATGCAGACACACTGTGAAAAGTGGGTTCTTTTGCATTTCATTTTGTCTTGCTCTCCTTGAGAAGGGGCCCAATGACTGTTGGCTGTACATTATAAAGTTAACAGTCCTCCCTAGATTACAATAGCCATAATTAAACATTTTTGTGTTTACGTGTTTTGTATTTTATAGCTGTGAGAAATAATCTTTCAGGAATAAAAATAAACTTTTTTTTCCTTCAGTTTGTTTCTGTCACTTTTAAACTTAAATTACTAAAATAAATAAAATTTTGGATTGTATGCTAATTTATTGAGATGCATGTGTAATCTTTCCACTTGTGCAAACCATTCTGCTAAGGACTTACCTCTGACTGCGAGTTTAGTTGAACTCTCTGCTCTTCCTAAAGCATTTTCTGCAACAATTTTGTATTCCCCAGTATCCTTGGTTCCCACCCTTAATATTAGCATTGAGCAGACCCCACAGGTGTTGGAGATGAAGTAGTTGGTGTTGGTATTCAGACTGATGTTGTTGCGGAGCCATGTCACACGAGGTGTTGGATCTCCTTTTACGGCACAGCTCATGTAGCATTCATAGCCTTGTGGAGCAGTGTGCATTTTCAGTGGGACAAGGAACTTAGGAGGACATTGCAAGTCACAGGCTTTGGACTCTGGCATCTTCACTGTGAATTTTTCTGCAGAGTATCAATATAAAAAATTTATTTAGGATATAACTATTGACTTAAAAAAATAAAGAAGCAATTCTTCACACTTTAGTACAAAAATGTCTCTTACGACAAGCTTCTTATGTGGAAAAGGGCTAAAATCTGTCTTTTTAAGTGACATATTTGGGAAGCTTTAGGACTATTTGAGCAACAAAAGAAAGCTTGAAATTGTTAAAATATTGCCTTTACTTTAGGATTTGTGACGGTTAGTTGCACAGTGTTGCAAAATATGTTTCTAAACCTGAAAAGCAGATTGGTCACCTTTTTTGGCAGGAATGAGCCACTTTGGAGATTCAGATGGTTTAGAGGAGCCCATGTCATTCTTGGCATAGACTCTAAACTGGTATTCTCGACCCGGCATGATGTTGCAGGCCGTAAATTTGTTGTTGAAGATTCGATCTGCAATGGTGTTCCAAGACCTCTTGACTGAATCTCTCTTTGTCACCATGTAGTGCAGCCTGTCATCCCGCTTCTCATCTGGAGACGCGGTCCATGAGATGGTCACTGTGCCAGGCACGTTTTCATCGAGATCCACAGGACCTGGTGGCTTTGGCTCATCTAGAGTTCAACATTTTTGTTATTCACTCTACTGAATAATACATCAAAGGAGAAAGAAGACCACTATTTTAAACCTACCTGTGACTCTAATTTCAATGCTAAATGTTTCCTGTCCTACAATGTTTTTGACAATGATGGTATAGATGCCGGTATCTGAACGTTGTGCTGAAGGAATCAAAAGCTGGGATGTGCCCTCAGCATTGCTGATGGTGACCTTTTTAGACACTGGCACGCCATCCTTTAGCCAGGTTACCTCTGGCCATGGTGAAGCCTACAACACAATATGAAAACATTACTTACAGGAGTTTATAGATCTGAATTAACTTCTGTAAGTCATCTGATAAAATACCTCAAAGTTAATGGTGAATCTTGCAGAATTTCCTGCTCTCACAATCATGAAACTCTGGATTTTGGTATCTGTGAATCGTGGTCTCACTATTTAATGAATAAAAATAATTTTGTTTTTATTCAAATTGAAAAAAGACAAACACATTTCACTCCAAAATGTTATGTCAAAGTATCTATTAAAAGATTAATTAAAGTGAATAAGTTATGCAGAGTTACATGCAAGCAATCTGCAATGTAGCATTTTTGCTCTCGACGGTACATCAGTTTCTATGTTTAATTATCACTTTCAATGCAACAAAGTTTAATATTAATATGATCAAAACAAAGCTGTCCATATTTGGTGAAATTAAAAATTCATCCATTTACAAACAGATGAAGTAAAGTTTTTCAAATCTTTATTTTGGAAAAGGCTTACAGGCTTTCGACCACTTTACTACCCATGTGGAAATAACTAACAAATGCACAGTTCAGTTTTAGCTGTCTCTGTCCTTTTAGCTTATTTGGAAGATGAGCCTTCACATGACTAGACTTTTGGTTTAAATTGAATTAAATTTCTAATAATTATTGTAACTTTAATGTACCCCCAAGTAATAGAGGATAACTGACAGTGCATGGTTTTGCATGCTGTTTCTTTAAATGTATTTTTAGAGATTGACTTAGGTCCAAATGTACTTACCAGGAGGGGGCATAGCGAGAATGTAATTGTCCAGCTCCTGAGGCACTCCCTCACCTCCATCATTAGTAGCAATAACTCTCACCCAGTACATGGCCATTGACTTCATGCCCTTTACCGTATATGTAGTCATGGTTATTGCATTAGAATTACATCGATCCCAGTCTGTGTTTTCTGCAGGCCTGATTTCCACAAAATATCCCTTTGCTTCATCCTCCTCTCCCTTAATGTCTTTGGGCTTGTTCCAAGATAGGGACAGGTTTGTGTAGGTGGAATCTGTCACTTTCAAATCAAGCACTTTACCAGGAGGCTCTGAAACACATGATTTGGTGCCACTTTTAATGTCACACAAATATTTTATGTAGATTAACAATGGCAGCTCTGTCACAATATTTGTAAACATCCACCTACTTTTAGGGTCTCTGGCAAAAACAAACTCAGATGGAGTGCTGAATTCACCAGCTCCAGAGCCATTGATTGCAGACACACGGAACTCGTACTCCATACCCTCAACCACATCTTTTACTGCAAATCCTTTACCTGAATAGGAAAATTGACTACTCTTGATTAATTTATCCTTAAATATAACATTATACTAAGAATTAACAGAAATTATAGAAAAACTATAAAGTAACCTTTAATAATCTCATTTGGGGGGTTAACTTGGCCCCAGAGGTTGCTGCCTTTCTTGCGTTTTTCCAGGTTATATCCCAGAATGCTGGTTCCTCCAGTGTCAGCAGGAGGGGACCAGGTGAGGTTGATGCAGTCCTTAAAAGCACTGGCAACCTTTGGTGCTGATGGAGCTGCAGGATATGCTGTATGCACCAAAAAACAAACATTTGTTTCAAGTTTTTTTTCAACGAGTCAGCATGCTTTTGTAATAATGTTTTTAATTCTTTGATTTACATAAATGTAAATGTCAGGTGTCAAATTTAACATTCTGTTATCACTGAGTAAAACTGAAGAGTTGTGAAAAGAAGAACATCTACACAATTTGAATATCTTCGCGTGCAAACTAAATTTAAATTAGTTTCAATTATCAAGTTTAAGTGTCAAGTTTTCCATTTTTTTTTTGTTTCATAAATGATTATATGGAGGAATCTTTGGTGTGTAGTTTTGACTATTTGGGTAAGATTTAAAAAAATTTGGAGTTTGGTAAAGCACAGATCATTTACAATTTAAAACAATAATTTTGACACAGGGGAAATATTCATGTTAACACTATTTTCTCATTGAGTATGTCAAACCTGCTGAGAACATACATTAAAGTCAGGATGGTTACATATGAATAATGAGCCTGCTTCTAAGGCACAGAACACATCTTCTGTGAACAACATTGATTGTTTCAGTTATATTGCTCTTCACTACAGATTGGTTATTTCAGGTTGCTAAAAAAAACAACAACAAAAAAAAAACTGACAACTTTAACCTGAGCTCACCTTTTGTTCCAGCCTGAATATCTTCAGTTTCCATCATTTCACTGGTTCCTATTTCAGTCTCCACTCTGATACGATAGCAGTATTTCCTTCCATGATCCACGTCGGAGTCTCTATACTTGGCCTCAGGACCAATTGGTCCGACCTTCTTCCAGGTGTTCCGTCCAACTTGTTGTCGTTCAAGGATGTAGTTTTGTATCTTGCATCCACCACTGTCCTTTGGGGGTCTCCACTTGAAATCAATTACAGAGGAGGAGGCTTCAACAATCTCCAGCGGTCCCATTGGAGGTCCAGGTTTATCTGACGGAATATGACACGGTATGATAATATAGTATTTTAGTTGATCAGAATGTGTTATCCTTAAATGTTACTTTTGTCAAATACTTACCAAGTACATTTAGCTGGCTTACAGCCTCTATTGTCCCAAAGACATTTTTCAGCTTTATCTTGATTTCACCACTGTCTTTGCGCTGCAGCTTCATCAGCAGCAAACGACTGGTTCCATCTGAAGTCTCAATATTTATATTGCCTTCACTTGAAAGTTCTTCACCCTCAAGGTACCATTGGACTTTTATTGGCTCCCGGCCAATGTAAGACAACTTATAAGTAGCTTTGTGTCCCTTCTTTACCGTCACAGGAGCTTTAAATGCTTCTAGCTCCTCTTTATCAAATCGAGGGGGATCTGAAACCAAGAAAATGCACAAAACCTTTTTTTTTAAAATTCAGTTTAAAGACTTGCATTCACACTCTGGTAAATTATGGAAATGTTTTTTACCTTCGACAGCAATTTCAGCCTCAGTTTTTCGACCATCGGCTTCAAATTTATATTTTCCAGCATTTTCCTCTGTGACTTTGTGGATTTTCAGCCTGTGGAAACATCCTTCTTTTGAAATTGTTAAACTCTCAGATGACTGAATCTGGAGGAAAAAATACAAACACTCCTTTATTGCTTCAGCGTCATCCAGGTATATTTGCTGATAATGACTGCTTTAGGGGTCTGAACTCACCTCAGCTCCATCTTTGTACCAGATTCCTACACACTCTTCACTGCTTACTTTACACTCTAACTCTGCTGCTTCTCCAATAATGGCTTTGCAGTCAGAAAGTCCAGCGTGAAAGTGAACGCCTGGGTCTGAGAAGCAAGTAAGTTAATAAATGCTTGCATTACCCTCCTTTTACAATCATGTTTTCTTTTCTTTTCTTCTTTCTAAACATGAATACAACTAAAACTAGAAAAAAATATCTAACCATATTTTCTCACTGTCTGACATAAAATGCATATTCTCCATTTTAGGAGTTATTTTTTGTTGCTTTCTTCAAATCCAAGAATTCCTATATCCTACCATCACTATGCATATATGTAATTTTAAACAAATCACGAGAAAATCTGAGGGAGTAAGGTGGCCTCCAACCCTTTCTCAGTTTCACCACATCTGTCAGAAACACTTTAAAATCAAATGCTAAGATGTTGTCAGCTTCTGAATTTGAAGAAAGTACAAAAACTTTTTTAACATTTTGTAAGTGGAAATAATTTTGGTCAACCTACATGATCTTAATCAGAAAAAGTATGACACCATGCCAGACGGTAATGGGGAAAATGTTGTATTAAAGCAGTGTTTGTGAATATCTGAATTGAACTTTAAATGCATATTGACTTACCTGCCAAATATTACATCTCAAGTAATGTTTTAAATTTCATAGAATTCATGCATGAAGTCAGGAAAAAAGTGTCTTTTTCCTCATTTGAACTGAAGACATCTTCATGAACATGAAACTAAAATGACTTATTGTCTTGAGACTTTCTTCAGTTTAACAAGTTGAGTTCTTAAAGGTTAAAAGAAAATCTTCTGTGCCATTGAGAAAGGGAATCATCCTTTCAGTACGGAAAGTTTCTTCTTCATTTGAAGAATTTCTTATTTCTCTGATGGAAAATCAGTCCTTAGTAAATGTACAAAAAGTAGAAAATAAATATTTATGGGCATTACCATTCTCCAAGGTCAGCTCATCTTTTTCTTGATTTTTTTCTGATATGTTAAAACCTTATGTACACAGTGACAATTTCAGTTGTCCTAAGCAGTGTGTCTATTACTCTGTGTTAAAATCATTTGCCTGAGTGCACCAACTCATCCTGAATTAATATTTGAAACACCAAGCAGGAATGTTAAGAGATGCGTTCAAAGCACAAAAGCTTTCAAATTGTCCACAAAAGACAAACATTGAGACAAACAAAATGATTTTCTGCTGATGTCCAACCTGCAGGTCAAAAAAACACAGTTAATGACTAATCTGTCTCTGATATTCACAGACTGACATATAGTCAATACTCCACAAACATTACAAAACATAAATTGGAATCAGATATATTTAACATTCCTCTAAGGCACAATCATGATTTAATTAAGTCTTTTGTATTTTAAGTTTATGTAAATTTATGGTGATAAACAGCTTTTTGCCCAGTGGTTGTGAATTTATTCTGTTAACCCACATACCGTATCTCTAAATGTTATCAATGCATTAAATAATTTTTGCAATGATGATACCTTCCATGCAGCAAGTAATGCAGTACTCTGCAATCTTACCGCTAACTCTCTGCTCGATCATTGGGATGTGCCATGCACTGCCTGAACATTTGCCAGCTGTTGCTGGCTCACCTTCATCTGCTCCCTCATCATCACAGCTTGCTGCTCGCCCATGCAACTCTCACCTCGGGCATATCTTCTTCCAACGTTATTGGCTTTTCATTTTAGATGATTTCATTTTAAATAGCATCGTCAATATTTTTTTCATTTGCTGTAGAATTATCCTGACAAATAACATTAATAAAAACAACAACAAAAAAACATTAAAGATTGAAAAACATTAAAGATTGAAAATCATCGTAGTGAGAAGATAAATTGCAACAGAAAAAACTAAAATGGAAAACAGGGTCATGGAGAAAATCAACCATGGAATGTGTAGTTTGCTTTTATATACTCATAAAAGCAAGCATGCATAAAAGTTCATTGATTTCTACCATTTCTATTTATATCCTGCCAATTTGTTCACAATTTTTATAAAACAGACAAGAGGTTTACAACACAAAGAAGACAAACATGTTTACAGACATATAAGTACATTAATTACACAGAAAACCTAAATATACCAAATACACTGCCTGGCCAAAACAAGTTGCTGCTTGATTTTCACCAGCTAATTTGTGAATTGTGAGTTAATTGTTTCTGTAGCTGAGGAGAAAAAAGCTTAATGGAATAACTTTGTTAAACTTTTTTAGACAATTCCTCTTCTGTTCTGGATCTATTTTGTCTCATCCTTTATGCTCTATTAGTAATGATAGACAATTTTGTACAAAATTATTATCATAAAACATAAACAGTTTTGTTCTATATACAAAACTTTTGTAATAATTTTAAAATACTTGTAAATAAAGTAGATGATTGTAGATTAATGTTAGGTGTTTATAGACTCATGACATCTGCAATCTTTGTTGGAAAACTTTCATAAAGTATTTCCAAAACTCAACATAAAAAAAAATGCATTTTCTACATTTACACATTTTTTGTTGGGCCAAGATGAAGCTAAAGAAAAATTTAATTTGATGGTAGTGGAAGTGGAAATAATATTCACTATATGATTTAGTTTCTTACCTATAACAGTATCAGGAACCAGTGGGCCAGCTCTTACTCGTTTTCTCCGCTCCCCTCCTTTTTCTCCTCCTTCTCCTTTCTCTCCTCCCTCTTCTCCTTCTCCTTCCTTTACTCCTTCCTTTCCTTTTCCTCCCACTCCTTCTCCCTCAATGTCTTCATCTGAATCTTCAAAGAAATCCTCATCGCTTTCAACCTCAGAACCTCCTTCCTCATCTCCACCCTCAATGTCTCCAGTCCCACCTGCAGCTCCACTCCCATCTCTCCCTCCAACTCCTGCAGCACCTCCTGCACCCCCTCCTGCAGCACCAACTAGACTACCTGCTGCACCGCCTCCGCCTGTAGCTCCAGCAGCTCCACCTGCAGCACTACCTGAACCAACACCAACAACACCCCCTGTTGCCCCACTGGCCCCATTGGCGGCAGCTCCTTCCCCAGCACCAGCTACTTTTTTCTTAGTTTTCTTAACAGCTCCATCTTTGCCTGCAGCCGCTCTCTTTGCCTTTGCTGCAGCTTTAGCCGCTGCCTTTGCTGCAGCTTTGGCCTCAGCCTCTGCCTTCTGCTTTGCTCGGGCAGCTGCATCCGCCAATTCCTTCTCTTCTTGTGCTTTTTTGGCGAGTTGTGCTTTTTCTTCCATTTCTTTCTGATATCTTTCTTGCTGTTCCTTTGCTATTCTCAGCAGTTCTTCATCATTGCCGGCTCCAGCGATGGTGGTTTTCCGTGCTGCCTTTTTGGCCTTTTTGGCTGGATCTTTCTCCACTGCAAAAAAAAAAAAAAAAAAAAAAAAAAAAGTAAATTAACAGAATTGTGCTCTTGTAACTGTATTGTCTTCAGATTTGTGGTATCTTCAATTGGTCAGAAGTTTATTTCCAAACATTGAAAGTGGGCAATAAAAGTTTTCTCACCCTCAATCACAAGCCAGGCATTGCAAGACTTGATTCCTGCCACAGCAGCATAAATGCCACCATCCAGAGGCAGGCAGTCCCGCACAATCAACTTATGGATGAGTTTATCTTCAGATACAATGATTTCATGCTTCTCATTATTTGTCAGCAGAGCGCTTTTTCCATACCATTTGATCTCATTCATTGGTGCAGTGAGTACACACTGAAAGAGAGCGTCCTCTCGTTCTTCCGCCTTGACCTCTTGAATTTTGACAGCAAAGTCAACTTCAGGCACTGCAGAGTTTTGAAGAGGGAGATAATTGCCTTTCATTACTTCTACACATTTAATTCAATGCCACCTTAGCGATTTACTAATTGATGGACACTTTTGTTTGCAAACATCAGTTTGACATTGATTGAGATATTTTACATTTTAAAAGCAAATAATTTCCCAGCAGATGTTTGATTTTAATTTCATACCAGTTAAATATCTGTTTCTGTGTTAAGCAATCAGTGACTGTGTTTCTGTGTCTGTTAATGACTATATCTTTGTATGTTTATCCCAGTTTGTCTGCTTGGAAAAGCAATAAAGGAGACATTGCTGACACCAAGTTTTACTTTGATTTTTATCTGGGATATTTTGTTGGCTAAGAGTTTATATATTTAGCAGTGTTCCTGTCCTATGTGTTGCCATTAGAAGATTTACTGCTGTCAATAACATTTTTTTCTTTCACAAAGCAGGTATCCTTGAGCCAATTCTGTTTTTGGAGTCAGATGGCATTTCTTCAAAACTATCACTACATAAAAAAGTGGGACTAATCTTACCTTGTTTTGCCAGTACATCTTAAAGTGTATGTTGTGAATTGTAAAAAAAAGGATCAAACACAAATATTTCAAACTGCCTTAAACCTAGTCTGCTCTTACCTTTAAAATCTGTGGAAAATACATTGACTCCCTCAACATCCACAGAGTAGAGCCCCGCATCATTCTTACTTAGATTTTTGATTGTGAACACATATTTTTTGCCAACTTGTTTTAAATTATGCTTCATTCCTTCTCCATCTTCCTTTGAGAATGGTACCATGACACCATCCTGCAGAGATTTTCAGTTATATGATAGTTTATGCTTATGAAAATTCCTCAAAATAAACAAGGGTTGTCTGTGTGCTTCACCTTGTACAGAAATATTTTGCTGCCAGAATCTAAGAGGTCCATATCCAGCTCAATTGTTGCACAGTCATCATCTTTGACCTCTACAGGTTTAAGCGTCCTGATATGTGAGATGAACTATAGCAAAAATAAGCAGATTAATGTAAATCATGAACATAATTAGAAAAAATAAATCATACAAGAGTACTTTTTTGCTTTTTGGGGAACATCATAACTCATCGAAAACAAGAAACAGCAGGAACTATACCTGTGCAATGTCCTCTTCACGCTCTTTTTTCATTTCAGTAAGTTTCTTCAACATGCCACGGAAGTCTGTGATGCCGTACTCTATACAGATTTGCTCATAATCTTTCTTTTCTGCACTAAGCAGGATTTCCCAGACCTTTTCGTTTGCATCCATTGTCTTTTCCTCACGTGTTCCATCGGGATTACTGCAAAGTGGCACATTATTTGTGTGGAACTCGACTACAACATTAGTTTTTTATGATTGAAATGGTACTAGGCTACCATAAAAAATATTACATTTTACTTACCGTGTTTTGAGTCTTTTTCTGAACTCCGTTGCATCTAGGGAAGGTGTGGGACAGTTTATGTAAACTAACATTTTATTTTCACTGACTCAAAACAAAACAAAAAATGATAGGATGTCTTTCTATCTTTGTTGAAATGTAACGGTTTCCCTGAACTAGTTAAATATAATTATAGATCACTAAATTAAAGTGTCTAGACGAAGTAAAAAAAAAAAAAAAGAAAAGTTTTTACATTTATTTTACATGATTCGAAAGAGATGCCAGAAAAGCAGTGAAAATTCAGTGAAAAGCAGAATTTTCACTGAATAAAATTACCCAAGTAATTACAGTGATATAATTATTTTGTCAAAAATTGTGGTAATGTACTGCTGCAATAAAATATTAACCTAAGGCCTTTTCAAACCCTGGAATGTATTGGTTAGTATATCAGCATACTAACAAATAAAGCAAATGAAAGAACAGTTATGATTTTATATGCGGAAATATTAGTTGTGTAAGGTTTACCTTCTCCTTGAGTCTTTTGAAGTTCCTTGGTCTTGGAGAATCCCACTGTGAACAAACAATACAAAACTTTAATTCTGCTTCACAATGTGCCCGCATGATCTAAAGGTACCTTTAGCAGAATAAAACAACCTTAGTTTTACACAGTTAATCATACCTTCAATAACATTCAGAATAACGGTGCAAACAGCTCTCCCATATTCATTGGTTGCAAAACACTTGTAGGTGTCGGCATCTTCTGGAGCTACCTTAGGGAACTAGAACAACGGTAAATAGAGGACACATCAGATTATTTTTTTAGTCATACTGTCAATGTTTCATTGTTACTTATTAAAGTTTTATATTTATTGTCGATGACAGCAATTTGTATTTTTTGCTTTATTAAAACTTACCTCGAGGGTATGTTCATTTGATGCCGGATCATATTTTTGTTGACATACATCAGGGTGAAAAATGATTTCTCCATTTGCTCTGCTCCATGTTACAGTAGGTGTTGGATCTCCCACCACAATGGCTTTAAAGTATGCAAATTTGCCTGCAACATATCACTATTACAGTCAAGTTATAAAGAAATGAACATATTAGACATATTATTCAAATGAGTAAATATAGATCGTTTTAATTGAACAATTTAGGATTTTTTTAATGTATTTATTTATTTACAAAAATGAATTATGTAATAGTTTGTTTTGACTGGCTGACATCAGATCCTGACTCTCCCAAAAATATGTGTTTATGGATATAGCAGTAGTTAAGTAAGTATTTAATATAATTGTGACACGGATTGTTCCTGGAACATAATCATATCTCAGCTCAAGGTTCTTGTTTAATAGGACATACTTTCTGTAATGTTTAGGATGTTGGTGCGCGAGATGGTAAGCTCTCTAAGAGACCTAAGTGAGGGTAAGCATAATGATCTCTTAAAATGTAATTAGAGAGGACATCAAAATATTGTCAAATATTTTTCAGCTGTTAATTGTGGCAAGGTTGCAGTTTGACAAAAAAAATAAAAAATAAAAAAAACTGTCCAAAATGTCTAGTTCTTGCAGAGAACACACATGTGCAAGTGTTTTGAGTGTTTTTTTAAAGGGGTGTATTGGTTCTTAAACCTGGACCTTCAAGACTTTGAGCTCAGAATATCTGTCCCCAACCATTCTGCTCCTTTCCAGGTCATCTTAAAAACATAGTTCATATTTGCAGAGAGAAAAATCTTACCCTCTTGGATAGTAAGGCCTATGGGTTTCCGTGTGAAATCTGGAGTTGTTTTTCCTTCAGGAAGTTCCTCCATAAACTGTGTAATCATGACACCAGGCACTTTTGATTTTTTCTTGATGCCTAAACGAACCAAATAAGAATCAGTCAATAAGGTTACAAACATAATGTTGCAAAACCAAGTAAAGTGCAAAAATAAGCACACATTCATTTAAATGTGTATTTGAAATAGTTATTTTCTTTGCTTCTTCAGGTACATGACATAAAAAAGACAGTTGGCTCGCACTGAAATTAATTTCATAATGAAAACAAAACAAAAATTAGCAGGATGTATGATTTTCTTTTTAAAGCCTACTCGCACCAGGCTACAACTGCTGTGTGGTCTGAAAGAGCTCCACGAGAGTCCACACATATATGGATTGCAGAAAATTTGGAAAATCTTCTTTTAACTAAAAGTTAGTCAGAATGCGGCTATGTTATCTCTCCTGATCTGATTTATTTTTGTCTTCTGCTTCCTACCACAGTACATGAGAATCACTTGTCTAGAAAAATGGTTCTTGTCACAAACTGTCCAATTTTCCTGTAAAGATTGGAGGTTTCCACTGCCAGATTCAACCTTACTGTAAAGAATGAAGCACATTTAGTGTTTTCAGCATGTTAAAAGCAGTCTGAACAGACTGCTGTTCACTAATAAGTGTGCCATCTGGAGCACATACTGTAATCTACAAGACTCCATTAGGATACTTGTGAATCAGTCAAGCCAAGCCGCTAAAGCCTTAGGTTGTGATTTGAGTTCAACTGTGTGTTGTAAAATTAGACTGTAAAACTGCAAAATGATGCATTTAAAGTGCAGCCTGAAAAACTCAATTCTTTTTCCAGTCGTTCAATAATCACAGCCTGGGGAGAATTTAGAGGTGTGCAATCCTCTCCCTAACTGGGTATCATTCTCCAGCAATGAACCAAACACTTACTAATTTATTTGTCCAAGGGGGTTTCAACACACTTCTATAGCACTAACAAAGAAAACACAAATTGTTCATTACAGCTGCCTGCTTATATCTTACAGCTGCCTGCTTATATCCTTACAGCTGCCTGCTTATATCCCGTTGACTGAAGCCAGGGCTGTGGCTTGATGCACTGCACATAACAGTTATATTAGAGAATTAAATTAGCCTTAGCAAGAGGTCAGCATGGCCAGTCCAGCTTCAACTTCTCAGAGGAACAAGCCTCACAGCTGTGCTTGCTCCACTTCTCCACTGCTACTGGTGCCATTACACTCCCTCATGCCTCTTCAAGGACTTCTATGCTGGCATTACAATTAGAAACCACAACAACTTATTTCCTTACATAAGTTGTCAAAGTTCAAAACAGTCGGGGGACTCTCGTGTGAAGCTTACTGTGCTTTTAATATTTAACAGATGAACTCTCCCAGACCCTACAAGGTTTTTATGCCATTGTGCAGTTTTAATCTGGTGTGAGAGGGCCCTAGATATCAGGCATGTATGTTTACCCAAAAAGAGTGTGATCATGTTGGGAAAATGCCACTAAAGCGGAACAAATTGTGACCCAAACATGCTGTTATACATACCCACAAAAGATTTTCACTACATTTTGTTCCATTTTACTAACCTGGTAGTTTTATTTTTTCTAGCTCAGTCGTGAAGTGAATGGATATTTGGTAAGTTGCCATTGTTTGACCCAGTTAATATATATATATATATATATATATATATATATATATATATATATATATATATATATATATATATATATATAATTATCTCGCTCTCCTGGTTTTTACCAATCCAACAACACTGGGATAAAATATAACTTGTTCAATTTCCATTCCCACCTACTTTGCTTCTTTTTGCATTTGGTTTACTCTGACCTATCAGAGGTCAGAGTAGCACTAAGCAGAGTTAATGGAAAATGCTTACTGTGAAAGAGCAAGATAAACTATTAAATCTTTCTTTTTTTTAACAAGAACATAATCTATATTCATACTTGGGTTAACAGAGGTAGTTTTTAAGTAAGAACTACCTCTGTTTTACAAGATTCACAGCTCATGCATGAACTACAATATATTTAAAAAGAAAATTCACTGTTTTTCTTTTTACCCTGAAATGTATAATGAATTATTTGGTCTTGAAACTTCAAATGTAATATGCTATTAATGTATATTCAGAATTCTCCAACTCTCCTTTGCTTAGTGGTATGAGCAAAGGAGTCACTTTCCCAAATTTACCGAAAGAAAAAAACAAACAAAGCCAAATCTTTGATAAGAGTGAGTCTTTGTGAAATTTCTCTGCCACTAACTTCCTGCTTCAGGAAACAGAACTTATTAAAAATGTTTAGATCTTTAACGTTTAGATCTTTAACCCTGGGTTCAGGACAAACTTAATAAACCTTGGGTTTTTGCTCTACCTCACCTCTTATTGTTTTTTCATTTTTTCATCAGTGGATGTCAAAATGCAAAGCAAAGCTTGCCGAAGCTTTTTCTGGAGAAAAATGTGAAATTCTTTTTGCTGTTGTTTTATTGTCCCCAGAGACAAACATAAATCATATATAAATTAGGAATAATCCTATTTTGATACCAATATTCCTAAATTTATCAGTAATCTGTTTACAAAGAAAACAGGCTTCCGAGACACATCTAGGATTACAACCAATGAGATGACACACAACGTAAAAGACAAGATCACATGTATCCTATTTTAGCTTCTTTCTATTAGCTCCCTGTTAAATTCAGAATATAATTTAAACATCTTTTTCTACATCAAAGATTTGATTGTGCCATATGTTAGTAATGGGGTATTTGGCTTTCAAATTGTAGGTTTATGGAACATTTTCACCCTGCAGTTGCAAAAAGTGACAGATGGAGGAGGAAGATAATAAAAACTAAAAATGGGAATAGTTGCTCTTATTTTAAAGTTGCAAGTAGAAGAGCAAAATCAGAGATCTGGAAAAAAATTCAAACTGGTAGCATTTTAAAATAATATGTTGGGGTACTTTGGGTACTGTCCTCTGGGTTTGGGTTGGATCAGGCTTGGACACAATGTTTATGGGGTCTAGGTGGGTCGGGTTGTATTTTTAGGCCCAATCTAAACTCAAAATGTTTTTTTCTTGTTTTTTTAGCAAATTTGTAACAAAGTCCTGAAAGTTGTAATTATGTTGTAGCTAAATTTCAAATGACTGTTTGTTCCTTTATTATGTGACTTTTTAAAGCAATTATGGACTGTATGTTATGTAGTGGTATAAGAGTAAAATTGATTTTCAAATTGTATTTTCCACTTTTCAAATTTTTATTGGAAATTATTTGTAAAAACCATGTGATCATCCATATAAATTACATTACAGGTTGGAAACTGTGAAAACATTCAAGGATATCAGTTATTTTACAAGACTTGTCTATGTCAGGGGTGTCAGGTAAGCTGCTTATCATAAGCCTTTAATGTAGGGGTTAAAAAATTATTACACGTTTTATAGTTTTTGTATCCGAGTAACTTCATTACAGCTATTTCAGAAAACATAAAAAGGTCAAACGTCTCGGAAGTAATTATTATTATTTCTTTTTTTTCAGTTTGCTCTTTTTATCTTTTCTCTGAGAAACAATCATTTATAATTTTGGATTGCTGTGGGTAAACAATCCAAAATTTGACTCATTTTGAGCTTAATGACAATGACAATAGCTTATTGTATCTGTCACTTTCTCTGGATTGTCATGTTATGTAATGTTTCCAGCAATATAGTTTCCTGTGTTGAGCTTGAAGGTCACATTTGTATAGGACAGATCTGGATTCAAGATTCAGTAAAAAGTGGAATTTTCCCATCCACTCTCAAGCTAAAGTAGAGACATCACAATCATTCAGAGCGCCTTCTTGTAACACGTTTTCACATGGAATGAAGGTTGACACAATGAAATGCATCCATTGTGCCACAGAAAGGTTTGTCATCCTTTTTTGGAAAGCACCTTTCAAAGTTGAGGACAGAGAAGATGAAGATAATGAAGATGTAATTTTTCATGCAACAAAAACCAGCATGGCGTCATGCGTGCAGAAAATTATTAATTTGTATTTCGATTATCTTTTTTTTTCTTGCATACCTTTGTCGTCCTGGTGTACTCCCTCAGAACCGTCGATTTAACACGCAACATGACAGAAGGAGAAGGCACAGGACAGGTAAATATAAATCCTGACAGAAGAACCATGGCAGGTTGGAACTTTGACAGGATTAAGAACACAGAAGAAACACAAGGGACCACATAATATATACAGTTTGTAACCCAAGGTTGGGTGGACAAATACAACACAGAATATCTGCAGATCAAATATGCAGAGACTGACAACACAACAAAAACAATTAGTAATAGACAAAAGATAATGCAGCATGTTATCATATGGCGTGGAAGAGTTGTTTCGTGCAACTGTTAAGGCTCAACACGAAGCTTTCTTACATATTTCCACATTGCAGACTTCTCAGGATGATTTCTGCTTGGTGCTTGAGATTAATTCAGTTTTTTCTTGGAGAAAAGGAGGTTGTAAAAAAATCCATTTTAGAAAGATAATGTTTCAATTCCGAGACTATTTGAAAGCATCCCTAATGTGGTGCATTGCCTCCCATGTTGCCATTAGGTCATGTGTTGGACGTTCAACATTTTCCACATTTCATCAGGAACACAGAGGTTTTCTGTGATGATTTTCTTTGAATTAAACCAACCTGTAACCACCAATCTTCTTTGACAAAATTTTTGTGATTCTGTTCTTGGGAAAGAGAAAAGCACCTTAACCAGAATGTAGTTCTCACTGGTGTAACTTGATAGTTGTTTCTTGACTTTGTGATGGATAAATTAGGTGATCTCATCACTGTTTCTGTCCGTATCTTCTTTGGTGAGATATCTTGGCATTAAAGGCTAAAGAGCAAATAAATTGTCACTGACAGTTGGAGTTCCTCCACTTGATTGTATTTCCTCTGCAATTATTTTCTGTTCACGGCATTAGCCAAAAATGTTGGGTTCCACCTCTTCAAAGATCTTTCAAGATGAGACAATATTGGTACTGTCTTCTTTGTCGTTGCTGTTTGTTTGGGTATGTCTTGTCCATATTTGATTCTTGGTTGCAATCTTAAATGACTACGAAGTTTACTTATAAAGTGTAGTTAAGTTGAATCATGTTGATGGTCTCTGGATTAAAAGAAAATGTAGGAAGAGGCAGCTGGAATACCAACCTTTGGCTGACTTCTGCACTTACCTGCCTGCCCAGTGGCAGTTTCATCGGCCACCTTTGTCTTCTTCAACATCTTTATTTCCTCTTCAGATCAGCAGATTCAGAGGACTCTGAACAAAAGACAGAGAGATAGAACAAAAACCCTTAGCATCTCATACATACATATCTCATATTTTCCCCAGACTTTGAGGAGACAACCTTAACTTAGAGATGGCTTATATCTTCTCATTAATGAATTGTCTTTGAAAATATAAGCACAGACCACTCAAAGATTCTTACAGAAATAGCTGCCATTTTTGGATTTTTTTTTTTTTTTACCTCAAGTTCAAAAAGGCTTTTTAGTTATACCACTCTTGTCCACTGAATGCAGTTACCTAAACCTGACAGTAAGAGGCAGCAGCTGGTGTTATTTACAGTAACTGTTGGTCATAACATGATCTGAGTTCCTGTCTCATGAGGTCTTTACAGGCAGCTGTAAATTAAGCACAGATTTTAGTGAAGCCTTAAAGATGCCTGAAGAAAAATTGAATATCTAAAACTACATAAAGTGGCAGTGTTTGGGCATTTAAAATGAATTTTCATATTTTTAGAACAAAAAAGCTATAAGAGAAGCTATTTTGAGGTATAAAAGACAACATTTGCTGGTACAATGCCCTCGAAAATATGCACAACTTGGCAGAGCTCTGCGTACTGAAGTCATCTGTAGCTTCATGACATGAACTGACTAAAATTCTTCCCATCACATGAATTTTGACAAAAGCCATCAGTGTGTTTCGTTTTATTCTGGAAATTGAGGCTCGGATTAGCTTTATGTGATGTATACAAGTGTTAATTTGTAAACCTTTTTTAATACTAATGATGGCTAGCTATCTGGGCAGCAGGTATTACAATCGAAATGCCTCTCTAAACACCTATTCTTTTTATGTTTGGAATGACACCATATTAATTGGTTTGGAATTTACACTCTATCCAGTTTAGTCTCATCTGTCCAGATTGAAGCATATTTTTTAGTCTTTTCGTGTTTTTCTGCTGTATAATTACTATGTTAAATAAAAAAGCAGGGAAACTCATAATGTTTACATCCAAAGATACATATAAGCAAGAGATATAGGGTTTATCTGTATCTCTTCTAACCATCTCTTTGGTCATGTATTGTTGTATAAAGACTTGACAAACTGCATATGCTGTGCTGTGATTTTTTTTTTTTCAGTGACAGTCCTTTTGATGCATAGATGAACAAATGGTAGATAGTGCTGATGTTGAATTTAAATTTTCAGGAGCTCTGTTTTTGTTTCTCTCTGTTATGTAAGCTTCTTTCTGGCCAATCACAACACTCAAGATTATATGTTGAATCTAATCTTAACATTACTTACTTAGCCCAAAATCATTTTCACCCATGACAGATTCAAGTATATATTTTAATCAAGAATTACTTTCTCCTGAAAAGTCTGTTTTTGATCGAAAATGAGACAGACATCTGTGAAAGAAAAAGAAAACAATGTGAAATTAAATTTATTTGATTTTAATCTGAAAACAGCTTCTCAAAAACGTGCAATTCTCAATAAGTAGTGAAAACATCATTTTTGACATTACACTCATTGACTTTGAATGTGCCTCTATATTTTGATGGAAATTGTTAAATATTTCTGTATAACCAAATATTTTAGTGAAGCCTTAAAGATGCATGAATGCCTTCTGGCATTCATTATCAATTGGCATTGTATAAATGAATGAATTGAAATTAATTCAATTAATTGAATTAATTTCAAATAATTTAATTATTTGAAATAATAATTTCAAATAATTCAAATTAATAAATTTCAAATGATAAAGTTTACAGTTTTGACTTTACAGTTTTGACTGCAAAGTTGACACCAAGCAATATTGGACTTGGATTTTATTTGCTGTGGACAAAAACTTTATAATTTTGTATGCACTTTAGTGACATGTTTTAAAGTAAACACACATCTAAAAACATTAATGTGTACATAAATAGCATTGGATAATGTTCTTAATATTTTCCTTCCTATATGCTTTACCGATTCTTGGAAAAAGAACAAACAACATCTTAAAAGAAAAGTTTTCTGAAAAGTCTCTGAAGTCATTGCACAACACAAAGTCAGAACATACTTCATATAATAGCAGTACGTGACATCCAGCTTCCACCCACTTCAGCTGACTGCACCACTGACCACATACTCTGAAAATGGCATCTAGTAACTTCTCAGATGTCGCTCCCTGCCTTTTTTCTCCAACATGTCAGTGATCGCAGCAGAGTGAACAACACAGAGAGTGGCTAGAGCAATGTAACTCACAAAACTCAGCTTAGTGGTAAGACCTTTGGTGACAAATGAGCGCTAATGGTGCTACCTGAACCTCCCTTTGGATTTGCTCATGTGTTCAAAAATAGCATGATGTCAAATTGAAAAAAAAAAAAATAATTGTATTTTCTCCCTTTTAGAATTTTTTATTTGCTTTATTTAATTGCATTGAAGACATTTATGTTCCTAATGATGATCTTGATATGCATATATTTAATAGGTACCATCTAAAGATGCATGGAGAAGACAGCATGAATCACAGCTCTGCAGATTTTTCAACGTCAAAAGAAATTGATCACTTGCCAAACTACAGTCCACTTCTTGCTTCTTGGTCCCTAAAGCTCAGGTTACAATTGAATTGATACATTCATCTAAACTTAGTCATTCAACAGCTTCACATCTTTGACCACTGGTCCAACCTCTTTAAAAGTGTGAAATTTAAGCTCAATAACCAGCATAAGGTGATTTCAAGTATCAGAAGCAAATATGCAACATTTAATCTACAGCCTAATGAATGATGAATTATGTTTTAAAATACTTTTCACTGTAAAGCCAGGTGTGGAAGGTACTGAGTTTAAAGCGTTAATCTTGATTCTTGGACAAGGATTTTTTTTTTCTACAGTTCCACTGCAATTGCCTAGATTAGTGCACTTATTTTCTATCCCATCATCATTCAACATGAAGCATTGATCTGGATATTAGCATGTGGAAACATGCAAAAATATATATCTTTTTTACTCTCCTGCTCTGTAAAATTTCTGATCAAGCCTTCATTTTGTGGACCACCTACCTGTTCCCTTCTCTTTCAGACAGCACTCTGGTCACACTGTGCCTTCCCCTATTTTTTTTTAACTGTAATAGATCCTTCCTGCAGCTTGCACAGCAATGCTTGATGCTTTACTTCAGCTCAGACCCTATGACTGCCAAAAGCCATTTAGGCTTTTTTCATGTCAGTGATGACTCCAGAGGCATTAGAGGTCAAGTGGGCGGTGAAGGAGGGTGGGTTGAATACTTAGTAAAGGTCTTTTTCAACTTCAGTCTTGATATGCAAGTTTGGCTCTAGATTGGAGGTGAAAACATGCCCTGCAGCTTAGAAGCCATGAATGTTTAAGGTGTGGCATCCTTAAATTGTTATTCTCTTATTAGAGGTGCAATGCTGAACTGCAGAAGTTTTTTGGGGAGATAAGTCTCTACGCGCACAAACATAAACATCTGTGCAGTCTTCTGTGTGCTGTCTCATGCACTTATAATTTCAGACTGATTTAGACCTCCAGTAATTGATTCTTGATGACTTGAACATAGCAATTACTTTCCCGACAACGTTAATTAACAAAATAAGCTGTCTTGAAATGGCTGATATTGATTTGAGAAACTGGGGTGGAAATAATGACAATAATGTCCATTGAATGAAGGTTAATACTTCATCCAATAGACAATAAACTGTCATCTTTGACAGTTTTTGCTGCAGACACAGTAGAACTAAAAGCCTTAATCCATATTGTCTTATAATTAGAAGTGGTCAGATAACAATAGTACTCAAAATATCATATCACGTGAAGAAAACGTACTTAAAGTTAACGATTATAGCGTGAAACATGTTTGTCTATTAAAGCCTCTGATACTACATTTAGTCATTGTGAGTAGATGTATTATTTAAAGAGAAGGGAGAAGTTGCCAGTCACTGTCCAGAAACACTTAAATAAAGAGGCACATTATTGCATCCCATCGCATGTTCAGCCTTTACTGGAGCCAGGAAGGCTATGTTGTTTCTATTTCCAACCGAAATTTGATCTAAAGCATCCACAATCATAATTTACTTAAATAAACATTCACCTTCACAAATGCACAAACAGTGAGAGACTATTAAAAGCACCTTTAGACAAACATTGCAATTTGATCCTTAGCATCCAACATCCAGTGACCAAATTATATCCATTTCTATTTGTACTCTTCCTGCAATATCTGTTTTTATTTACTCAGTATTTAAATTGTACTTTCCCAGTAGTACCAGCATGTTCATATCTTGCATTTGAAAGTGTTTTGTTTTATTGTTTATATAGAAAATGGTAAAAGCACCCACAAATATTTTTAAAGAGACATAGTCTAGTATTCCTCTTTTAAATGTGTTTCTTTAGCCACATGACGGTCTTGCAGCATTCCCCAAATCTTTATGGTGTTAGCAGTAAAGTTTGACTTCAGCACACAACTAAAACTATAAATCACGGTACGGAAAGAATTCTACTTGCAAGTGTCATCTTCCAAGGGATGGTAGATCTGTCTGTTAAGCTTAGAAATAGTAAGAGTAAATTTGTAGCTGATAGTGCATTAACACATGCAAATTTTGATTTGCTTTATTATTGCATTATGTATTGAATAAATTGACTCAGTCAAGTTTCCCTGATTATGTTTAAGAATGCATGATTTGTTGTGTTTTGAAATGTAATATTTGCTGGTTTTCTCAATTGTTGACTGTGTGATGTCTTTACAACTTTGTATTTCTGTTTTTATGATTTAAATCTCTTTGAGCTGCCTTCTTGCTGAAGCATGCTGTAAAAATGTACTTGATAATTGATTACCAGGAAGTAGTAACTTATCTGAAATGTGTAAGCATTTTAAATATTCACATAGAAATGTGAACATTTAGCAGTTTTAATATATACATTAATTAGTTATG